TTTCTAAACTTGTAAACGAGACCACAACAGCTTCAGTCACATTCACACAAGTGTTGAAAGTTTCCTTATTTTGACCCTTGATCTTTATGGTGCTCCAAAATGGCCAATAGTGCCCTGTTTTATTTCATACTGTCATTTTTCCCCAGCTGACACTTACACTGTACTCTCAGCTCGAGCAACAACAACGCCACTGTAACTCTGATTTACACAACTAGTTGCTGCTGTGAAGACTCCGGGCTAACAAGACAAGCTATTCATCTGACTGTCAGAGGCTGAATCCAGCATAACCCGCCTGGAAAGTTGTTTGATTTGCTGATTGATGGAATATGTTTGATGATTAAAAATACACCATAACCCTGCACAGCTGTAGCCTAATTACACTCCCTTGTGGCTAATTTGTATTGTGGCCCTGCAACATACAACACTGAACCAGAACACCAGCCAAACACACATACATATCAAATCAGCGGAGGAATCTGACAGAGATTCCAGATCTCATTAGGGAAATCAGCTGATTCAGAAATTGGGATGTATTTAAATACCGTACTGTGAAAAATAGGATCAATATCAAGAAATAAATGTCATTGTATTTTTTTTTTTTTTTTATTTTTAAAAGTGAATTACTGTTAGTAGCTGACCATATTTTATTGCTTGTATTCAAAATGATTTGTATTTAGTGAAATACAAATCTTTATTTCATAATATCCACTGTTGAATATTCCCATGGATGTTAAATTAAGGTTTGGGAATACATCTCAGGACCTCAAATGAACAGCTCATAGATGCACATGGATGGCCTAATATTTTATGACATCTGAATCCACAAAACACACCACACCCTGTCCAGATGTGCTGTGATACCGCTCAAGGGAAAACACAAAAATCAGTCACCGCCAGAAGTCTCTGTAAAATGCTGAGAAAAGTAGAAAGACAGGATGCCAAGACTGTTGAAATGCCACCAACTGTTCATCATGAAAATAAGCATTTTAACTGGATAAATGAAATTATGCAAAGCATCAACTGTTACCTGCTGAGATGTAATTCATCTATGACCACTTCACTTGTTTTAAGGGAATGGCATTATCGCCATCTAGCGGTTGACTTCATAACACAGCTCACATGGTGAAATCTGCCTGATTTTTAAGCTAAAACATTGAATGAACTGTGGGAAAATAGGAGCACATGTAAAAAAGAAACTGCTGTTCTACTAAAGTGCAGTACAACTGATGCTTACCTTTTTAGGGTCATCGTAAAATATCCCAATACATGACAGCTTTGGTCCAATACTGTGAGACTCCTTAAAAAGTTGCCCACAGTTTTTGTACGGTCCTTCTTTGAATTTGTAGGCGAATGTAATCTTCTTTATGGGAGGAGAGCCAGTCAGTATGATGATGTCTGACAGGAGACCCGAGTACAAAATGTAACCGGCTACTGTTATAAGACCTATCAACAGGCTAATGACCACACACAGATTGAGCCAGTCCGGCATGATAGCTTGTTCAACGGCGAACAGGTACCGTTATTTAACTTCTTCTGAACCTTTAACGAAATTATCACAATGTCTTTTATCAGTCGGACATTTTAAGTTAACGTTTGGTCGTCTTCAATTGGTAACTGTCCTTCAATAAACTTAAAACAACAAAGATTTAACATTGCACTCTGGACTTCCTGGAACGTACCATCTATGCCGAACAAAGGGGGGAGTTTGTTTCAAGATAAACTCGTAAAACTCTTAAAAAGAAAATATGTCCACCTCGAAAACATTTAACATACTTCAGATTTACTGTTAATATATGTGTGCATAGTTAAGATGCTCATATGCCATTTAATAAATGTTTAATAAGTGCCGACGTTTGCACCCGGTGACCTACATTATTGTGATGCCCTTTATTATTGCCGCTTTATAATGTTTGTAATTTATTTTGAATGGAAGTCCATGTAGCCTAGGCGAACTCAAGATGCAACAGTTCAGAGACTTTATATATTTATAAAGTGATACGAAACAAATCTAGTAGACCATTAAGAAACACTGGTTTAACTGGTCTACCATATTTGGTTAATAATTAATATTAAACTGTGCAGTGCATCATGGCATGCTACTTCCTTGATGGTGAAATAACCTTGTGAGTCAGAGTTCAAGAACAGCAGCAGATGACCACTGAGAGTTTTTTTGTTTTGTTTTGTTCTGGTTTTTTTTTTTTTTTTTTTTTTGTTTTTTGTTTTTTGTATTTGAATGTTATGGATAGTGTCGAATAAAAGTCGAATAATTTGAACTAGTTGAACCTTGAGAGTTGTGTTACATGTACTATATACCCGCCCCATGAATAAGAGGGCTGGACTTGGCAGAGACTTGTTGACATCAGAGCGCTTTCAAAGACGTAGCTGAGCGTCTTCTGTTTCCACTTAATTTACTACAAATTTGTGTAGTAGATGAGAATGGCTGGGAATGTAAAAAGGTTTTACGACCTAACAGCTAAGCTGCTGTCTGGAGATGCCTTCAGTTTCTCTGCACTGAAGGGGAAGGTAGTGCTCATTGAGAATGTGGCGTCTCTCTGAGGAACAACAACCAGGGACTACACACAGATGAACGAGCTCAGCAGTCGATACTCTGCCAAGGGACTCGTTATTCTGGGTGTGCCCTGTAATCAGTTCGGACATCAGGTAGGCCATGTGTGAATTCGGAAGTGGCTGACATATTGTGTTTATCCCTGGGAGGACAGTATTTACATATTAGAATAAATCTGATGTGTCAAGGACTTTAAAGCAGCTCACCTTTATGGCCTATTTGTGTGTCTTGGTCATCAGATTGTAGAACAAAAGCCATATGTATTGTTTATTAATATCATAGCTATATTCTAATAACTATTGTCATAAAGACATGTTGAATGTATGCCTGTGTCAAAATGTATGTCTTTTCAGTCTGCTTTGAGACAAACAGCTAAACATCTACATCCTTTTACATAAGTAAAAACTGTCATAACATTATGATCCTCCATTAGTAAAAATCCTGCAGTCAAAATGTAGCTACATAAAATAAGTATTATCAGAAAAGTGAAGTATCAAAAAGAGAGTAGGCATACTCAAAAGCAGCAGAATGTCCCCTTTGAAAGTGCTATTACGCTTTTACTAAAGTTAGATAGCATTGTACTGTATAGGTTGGAGAGGTTGGGCTCATTTAAGGCTAACTGCTTCCTGGGTAGTAGTATGATAACAGTGCCTCATATTTTAGACTTTGCTTGTAGTTCTTGCATGTAAAAATTTTAATCTGCAAAATGACTAATTACTGCAGCTGTCAGATAAACACAATAAAAAGTACTGTATTTCCCTCTGAAATGCAGCCTAGCAGAGTAAAATAATAAAGTAATATAAAATAGAAATACTCAAGTAAAATACTAATATAAAAAATGTACCAATGGCCTTACTTTTTCAGTTTGAAAGTAAGGGTGTAGATATTGTTTCAGCACTGGAGGGGACTAATGCTTAATTTCCTGCAATGTGGTGAATGTTTACGCACCACTTTGTGCCTTTCCTGCATCCGTTTCCAGTGGAAATGTCTTTCATTTTGTCAGAATTAAAGTCCTCTGATACTTACATGTTTTAATTGTGGGGGTCAAATGCACATGTTCTAAATAGTGAGGGGGGCATGTCTGCTGCATCCCCCCAAAATCTATTCCTATGTTTGACTTTTAATCAACTTGATGGCATACTGTATATAAACAATGTATATAATAATTCTGTATTATTTATAACAGGAGAACTGCAAGAATGAAGAAATCCTAAAGTCCCTTAAGTATATCCGTCCAGGGAATGGCTTCGAACCCAACTTCCAGCTCCTCCAGAAGGTGGATGTGAATGGAAAAGATGCCCACCCCTTGTTTGAATATCTGAAGGAAAAGCTTCCACACCCCTGTGACGATGCCATGTCTCTCATGTCCGATCCAAAGTACATCATGTGGAGTCCCGTCAGAAGGAATGACGTCTCTTGGAACTTTGAAAAGTTCCTGGTCGGTCCTGATGGTGAACCTTTCAAGCGCTACAGCAGAAATTTCCTTACCATTGACATTGAGGCAGATATTAAAGAGCTACTTAAGAAAGTGAAGTAAAGTGTGCTAAAACAAGCTCTGGGTGGCAGGGACGGATATCAGATATGACCAGTCTCACTGAACAGATTAATCAGTGCACATGTTTTTCCACCTTCACTGTTTAACTCTAAGTTTGTGATATTTCCAGATTAGTACTACACTTTGGTTGTTCAGCCGTATTACTGAATGAAGACACTCTTTGAAACCTTTTGTGAGAGGAGTTTCTGATGAACATGTAAAAGACCGACTGAGCCACTGTGTAGCCTAAAACTCATGTCACAAATGTAGAGGAGAGGAGAGAGGAGAAATAAAAATGTACTGTCATACACAAACAAAAAACAGTATTCTTGATGTGGACATTGTAATTTCTTTTCTTTGAGGTATTTGTCAATGTCAAAATAGTTTTGTTTATGCAAAGAAAATCTATGGACATGTATCACAGGTATTATATGCAGAGAGCAAACAGCATGTTTTGCAAATAAGACAGATTATTATTCATCTCAAGGGAAATTGTTGTGCAGCAGCTTCACTGCAAAGTTAAAGGAGTGCAGATACAAAGCGTGCAACATACAGGGACTTAAATAACAGCAGAAAGCAAATGCATTGCAAATATAAAAAAACAATATAGAGTAATATAAACTAAAATATAAATAACAAATAAAAACTAAAATATATAATAATAATAAATATAAAACTAGATATAGAAATTCTCATGTCTTGTAATGTTAGGTGTAAAAGAATACATTTGGTGTTTGCTGTACATAAACCCACCGGAATATTTATCCTAGCTGTGTCACGCTAACATACAGTGCTTAACTGTAAACGCAACATGTGTTACTGTAGGCCTACATAACTGTGATTTTTAATCATTATTCCCCGTGAAGTTAAAGAAGCAACAGCGCTGTCTCTTCCTGTTGAGGGCGCAGCTGTGCTATCCTCAATTGAACGCTAAGCTACAGGCTACACTGCTACTCTGAACATGGCTGGCCAGGAAGACCCAGTGCAGAGAGAGATTCACCAAGACTGGGCGAATCGAGAGTACATAGAAGTTATTACGAGCAGCATCAAAAAAATCGCCGACTTTCTAAACTCGTTTGGTAAGCTTTCAACCACCAGTGTTGCGGATAAGCTCACTAAAGTGGATACACTGTGCAGATAGCTAACATAGCTCAAGTTAGATAGCTAGTTCCGCTAGCTTAGCTGTACGGCTGTTAGCATTGATGTTGATGTTTTCAATGGCCACTCCCAGCTAGCAATTAGCTTCGTAGCTAGCTGTGGGTACAATGGCACTTTGGTATCGAGTCGCTTTACGTTTCGTTTCGCTTGTTAGCTAATACAAGCTGTCGAGTGTGTGTTTAAACATTGGTTTTAAAAGATAACTGGTTTCAAGTGTCGGGGCTAGCGGGCCACTGTAGTCGTCTGTCTGCTCGGCTGTCAGTAACGTTTCAGCAGCTTCAAGCAGTTATCAGAAACAGCGAGAATGTGCGTTATTGTGCAGTGAATGCGGTTGTGAGTGACAGTAAAGACAAGCTGTATCTTATAGAGTGAAATGCCATTGCTGTTGATGGTAAAATGCTTAATGCAGTTCATCATCCTCAGATATGTCGTGTCGGTCCCGCTTGGCCACCCTCAATGAGAAGCTGACAGCGCTGGAGAGGAGGATTGAATATATTGAGGCGAGAGTAAGTATACTGCTGCTGTGTAATATAAATGAAATACCCTCTTGTGTGTGAGTATGTCAACATTATATAACCATTCTATGAATATATTTGTCATTACAGGTGACGAAAGGAGAGACCTTGACCTAGATATTACCATGGGAATTCATAGCATCCCAGAGCCACCTGCCCATCATTCCCCTCCCTTCCCTGAATTTTTGGAATAAGTGTGATGGATTCCACCCTCCTTTTTTGGGATCACGTGGACCATTTTTTATAATATATGGCCGAGTTTTGTGTTGTTTTACCTCATGACACATTTGTATAGAAGATATGGGTCTGCCTTGGGTGTCAGTGATGCAAGCATCATCAATGTTACAAAACAAAAAAATGATAATACGCTCCATAAGTATTGGTTTCAAAAAGTATCATGGGGCTCAATCATGGATCTGGTATCAGCACAACTTGTTGACCATCTGTGTTGTATGCAGTGTCATTACCACATCAGAGATTTATGAAAGGGGAACATCCTTGTGTGCCAAGTTGAACAAGTAATTGTGTAGTCATCTTTATTAAGGACCTGCTTGTACAGTGAACTGTTTGGTGATGTTTCAGGATTTAAATACTGTAATAAATGATTAACGATGACCCTGTTTGGTGGTGTAGCTTATCTAAGACCAGGTAGGTTGTCACAATCAAGGAGTTTAATTCTTTTTAGCTCTCAATATACTAAGAGTTAGATAAGTTAACAGGAAGATAATAAATACTGACAAACAGCTTAACAAAGATAAGTGAACACAAACATGTATAGCTGGTATTTTGCAATACATATTGGACAGGCAAATGGTACATTTTTCAGATAAGATAGGACATATTTATCCTGAGGGAAATTGCTGTGCAGCAGTTGCAATACAGAAAGGAGTGTAGATACAAAGGGTGCAACACACAAGGCCTTAAATAACAGCAGAAAGCAAATGTATTGCAAATATGTATTACAATATATATGACAATATATTGCAATACAAACTAAATATACAAGTAGGTAACAGTATGGTGCAAAATGTAGGAAAAAATCAGCTTGCAGTAAGGTTAAACATAATAAAATTAACCAAGGCATAAAAGATATAAAACAAATAAAAACAATACATACAGTTCTTACAATGATGAGCTTAAATTGTTATCGGATATACAGAATTGTGCACAGTGCAAGATCCTGAAATGGAAATTAAATCTTGTAAGTAAATAAAGTATGAACTGTAAATTAACAGTAGGATTTAGTGTAGTTTTGTGACCTGATTAAAGACTACAAACAGAAACTGAAATTGCCCTGAGAAGAGCTTCATATTCAAAAGTGAGGTGGGTTTTAGCTGTCATAGTAGGTTCTGAATCTTAATGCTATTTGCTGTACATGTCAACTTACATAAAGTCTAATGTGAAATTGTTGCTATTTTTTAAGGCAGTTTGATCACAAAAGACAACTGCAAATATGGCCAGCAACAAAGCTCCATAACCAGCAAAATGGCCGAAAGTAAACTGTGTCAATTTTGCCCTTGGTCTTGCCTTTCAGGCAGCCTGTTCGGTCAGCGCTGCCTTCTCTAACCATTGGCAGGCAAAGACTAAGACATAACAAAAATGCTATCTTAAACAAATTTGATGAAAATTCTTTTAATATAATACGAAAATAACCTCCAAAATGAATGACACTTATCCTTTTAAAGACATAGTGATGTGATGATGTGATAATATTGATGATAATAGGTGCTCATTTTGTGAAAATTACGTTGAACCACAGACCATATATTATTCTCATGTAGTGTGGCTTGATATACCCAAATGGATAAAATGAAATATCTCATAATTCCCAGCTTCTATCTCAATAGACAATATTACATCTGGTGTGATCTTAAAACAAACATCAGAAATGAATCCATCCTGATCATTTCTAAAGTTATCCATCCCGATCATTTCTAAATTTAAGAATTCGAAGTGTACGTAATTTAAAAAAAAAACTGATAATAGGAATAAAAGCACAAATGCTATATAATATTCTAAAAGAAATCCCACTGTAAGGGATAACGAGAAAAAAAATACATCTCCCCTTGTACGGTACTTATTTTATTTTATTGTCCTAGTTTTCCCAAGTTGTTTAATATTAAATTTCCATTTAAAATCTACAGTTAAAAGCACTTTCTTTGTAATCAGTTTTCAATCTTGTATTGTAGATGTTTACATTTGTTTACTATGCTGTTGTTCACTTTGGCAATTCTTCTGTCCTTCCCATTATTTAGTGAAAATGAATGTTGTCATGCTTGTTCTGTACAGTTCAATAAAAATCATTTTTAAAAAGAAAAAGAGTTAACAGAGATTGCACTTTCTTTAAAAGGTTCTGGCACTATTGTATTGTAAATCCTACAGCCTGTTAAAGGCCTCAGGACCTGGTGCTGCCTGTGAGGCAAGTACGGGGCAAAATGATCTCAGTTCCCATAATGCACCGGGTTACACCCCAATGCATCTTGGGATAAAGAAGCTGTCGTTGTAGTGTTGAAAGAAGTCCTTGAACGTGAGATGAATTTTTTTCTTCATGACTTTTCAAATACATTTTTGAAAAACTGCTAACGTCAGTGGCTCGTAACATTGTTAATAAACTACCGGTGAGTTTTTGTACATTCAGACCGGAAACTGAAACAGTATTATTATTTTCACATACGTTATGTCGGTTAGCTATCGTCAGACCCGGCTCCATGTTAACGTTATGGGTTACCGCACCGGCGGCAGTTTGTTGTGCTAATTGCTACACAGCTATTTCAACTGTAACGATAGCGAAACTACTCTGTGTTAACGTCTAGCATGGTGATAAAATAAAAATACAACAGTTTGTATAACCCAATTTTTTGGCATTTTTCCAGAGTCGTGGTTGTGTAGCTGAGAGAAATGGGAGCAGATAAAAGGTGAGTAAACATTTAGGGCTAGCGCTGTTCGCCATGGTAGGTGTGGCTAATCAAAATGGCAGTGTTATTTTTAATATAAGTTCCAGTACTTCCCCCTGAGGGAGAGTGAACGTTACACCAACGTTAAATGTAACTTCTAGTGCTACATTAACTCTCGTCTTTATGACCAGTTAACCTGTGTTACGTTATCTCTGGCGACAGGGTCATAAACACTTGTCGATATATAATCTAATTTTTCCATTTCATCGTAGTCATTGTCTCTCTCAAAGCCAAATCAGAAAAACAGATTTGAAGAACAGTTTTTGAAAATATACTACAATCTTTCCCCCTCCTAAAAATGCCCACCATATAGAAAAGTGTAGGAAAATAATTCTGCCACTATAACCCACGAATATTGAAAGCATAACTTGAAACAACCTTGCTTTACTATTCATTAGAAAGGTATACATTTTGAAATATGTATGTACTATAGCATAGCCAGTCATTGTGCTCTCCAGTTTAAGAGAAATTTGCATGTCAGGGCTGTTAAACATAGTAAGCGCCTGAAATTAGACAGTGGCCACTGACTGTAATTACTCTGTTGCACAGTTGTGCAGCGTCTCTCTGTGCACATTACATAAAAAGAAGATATAATACATATAAGAAAGGCAGAAAAATCTCTTCTGGAAATATTTTGGAGTATGGCAGTCCCATTAAACATTGTTTAAGCTTAAAAAAAAAGTAAATGGTAAATGGACTGCACTTGTATAGCACCTTTCTAGTCTTTCAACCACTCAGCGTTTTTACACTACATGTCACATTCAGCCATTCACACATGCACTGAAACACTGGTGGCCAAGCTACTATACAAGATGCCAGCTGCTACTCAGTAACTACTCACATGTTCTCACATACTGATGGAACAACCATCAGGAGCAACTTGGGGTTCAGTATCGTGCCCAAGGATACTTTGACATGCGGACTGGAGGACGGCTCGAACCACTGATCTTCTGCTTAGTGGACCTCCACCTCTACCTCTGAGCCACAATTTAGACAGCAGGAAATGTGAGGAAAAAAATCTACACTGTAAATCATTGACCACACTTGAGACGGTGCCTGTGCATCAGGGGAAACCTATTATGCTTATTTTTCTCTGGTATATTAATTATTTAATTATGTTGGTGAGTTTGCAGATTCAATAGTATTTGATTGTGTATTATTATAAGTAAGAAAATGCAGTTGCATACCAGTTGTGCTGATTTGTCGCTTTGCCTTTCCACGGCCTCCTGAATAGGATTAGTCGGACAGAACGTAGCGGGAGATATGGCTCTGACCAGTCCCGTGATGAATCAGATTGGCGTGACAGACGAGAAAGAGACCAAGAGCGTGATCACAACATGCGCCGCTGGGGAGAAGAGAGACGCAGTGAACGTTTTGAAGGAGATCGTCGAGGATCTAGAGACAGTCCAGAGGTAGTCATTCTCATATCACTGATTTTGGTAGTTTAATGTATCAGTTAAAATACCTTGTTGTTTGTGATATCCACCCATAACTGATTAACTCATGTATTGGTTTAAAAGCAAAGAGAAAGGAAACGACGCAATAGTGATCGATCAGAAGATGGCTATCACTCTGATGGCGACTACCCAGAGCAAGATTACAGAAGGGAGCCTGAGGAGGATAAGAGGAGCAAGACCATCATGCTCTGGGGTCTGTCTCCTCATGTCACTCAGGATGATGTAAGTCTTAAGTTTACTTCTGCAGATATTCAACCTCTTCATAGTGTCATTCTGTAACATGAAATGCCCTTTTTAAGGTGTGGCGGGCTTTGAATCAATATAATAACTTATCATCTGAACATTGTTCAGATTTGTTTTGCCATAGACCAACTGGAGGGACCGCAGCCAGTGGATGTCAAGCTGATGAAAAAGAAAACAGGTGAGAACCAGATATATGACGGACCTCAACCTCCTCCCCAGTCTTTGACCATAGGGCCAATCTGCTTCCATTCAGACCCATTTCCCATAGCAGCTAGAAGAGAATAGTATCAAGATGCTTGAAAAAGGATTTAAAATGTTGATTTAAGAGTCATTTCAGTTCACTGTGGATCTTTTCAAGGTAAGTAAGAGCAACAATTACAGTTATAACAGAAACTCAATTGGCAGACACACTTTGATGTGGAGTGTGTTTCAATCAGTGGTATTCAGCAGGATTTCTTGCTATGGTAAAACTCCTAAGGAGTGGCCCACTGTGTACCAAACAAGGCCTGGGTCGTGAAGCAGTTTGTGGAAGAGTTTGAATAATATGCCCATGGACTCTTAACTAACACGCCTCCCGTCTATATTTGAATGCTGTCTCTAGGTATAAGCCGTGGTTTCGCCTTGGTGGACTTTTATCACTTGCAAGATGCTACCCGATGGATGGAGACCAATCAGGTTGCTTCACAATCGCCAAGTCTAGTTTTAATCTTGGGGATCTGGAATATTAACCCAAAAGGCAACCAAAGTGTATTGAATAAGTAGTGTGGAAACTGTACAGATCTTTAAAGAAAAGAAAACATATGGACTGTATGACACAGAGCAGAAAGATTTGATTTGTGTATTAGTAGAGATGATTATATACATGATTTAGAACTTAATGCTAAAACAAATAATTTGTTTAGTTAATTGCATTGGCAGTAGCATCACAGCTGCAGATTTGACTTGTATTGTGAGGTTACCT